TTAATTTGAATTCTATTTTATCTGATATTAGGATTGCAACTCCCGCCTGTTTATGCGGTCCGTTTGCTTGGTAGATTTTGTTCCAGCCTTTAACATTGAAAATGTGTTTGTTTTTACAGGCAAGATGTGACTCCTGCAGGCAGCAGATAGAAGGGTCTTGTTTTTTAATCCAACTAGACAGTCTATGTCGCTTAATTGGAGAGTTCAGTCCGTTAACATTAAGAGATAGGACTGAGAGGTATTTGGGAGTTCCTGCCATGTTATCTACCTTCTTGGGGGCTGGGAAAACTGGGTTCTTCCTATGGTTCTTGGATTCTCAGTTTGGGTGCAGTTTCTTGGCCTTTATTGCAGTCTTGTTGGTTTTCTATGTGTAGGACATCTTTAAGAATCTTTTGTAGGGCTGGTTTGGTGGAGATGTATTGTTTCAATTTTTCTTTGTTATGGAAGGTTTTTATTTGGCCTTCAGTTATGAAGGAGAGTTTAGCTGGGTACAGTATTCTTGGTTGATAGTTGTTTGTTTTTAGGGCATGGCATACATCATTCCAGGCTCTTCTTGCTTTGATTGTCTCTGCTGAGAAATCTGAGGTGATTCTAATTGGTTTCCCTTTATAAGTGATTACCCTTTTCTCTCTGACAGCTTTAAGGATCTTTTCCTTGTTCTGAGTTGATCCTGTGTGGATTATAATGTGGCGGTGGGATGTCCTATTCTGGTCTGGTCTATTTGGGGTTTTAAAGGCTTCTTGTATCTGGACAGGCCTATCTTTTTGCATGTTTGGGAAGTTCTCTGCTAGGATCCTGTTAAACAAATTTCCTAGACCATTAACTTCTGTTTCTAGGTGCTCCTCTACACCCATTATCCTCAGATTAGGCCTTCTGATGGTGTCTTCCAGGTGTTGGATAGACCTATCATATTTCTTGGATTTGTCTTGGATGGTTGTATGTTCTTTCTCTATAATATCTAGGCTGTCTTCAATTCCTGAGATTCGATCTTCTGCATGGTCTAACCTGCTGTCAAGACTCTCTACTTTGTTTTTTATCTCTTTTCCTTCTAGTTGGTCAGCTTTGATGGCTGCAAGTTCTTTGTTGAAGCTCTGTTTTAGGTCTTGTATGAATTTCTTTACTTCCTTAATTTGGTGTTCAGTGTTTGTCCTCAAATCACTTAGTTGATTGGTTATGGTTTCTTTAGGCTCCCATTCCTTCTGTTGGGTTCCATTCAGCATTCCCTTTGTGGTCTCCCTGACTTCCTTCAGCTCTTTGTTAATGGATTCCATGAATGCCTTTAGTGATCTTTGTGTGTTCTCTACCTGGTCTCTCAATTCCTGTATTACTCTTTGATTAGCTTCCTCCCGTTCGTGGGATTCCTGCAGATCTCTTTGAGTGTTCTCAGCCTGCTCACGCCATTCCTCCCTTTCTCTTTGAGTATTCTCAAGTTGTTCACGCAAATCCTGTATCAGTTTTTGAGTAGCTTCCTCACGCTTATGATATTCCTGTATAAACTTCTGGGATGCCTCCTCTCTCTCCCTATCACGCTCATACAGAGTCCTTTGTACGTTGTCAAACTTTTCATTTATCATGTTTGCCACCAGTGTTTGTAGAGCTATTTGGGAACTCTCCTCTGGATTATTCATTTTCTGTTCTAACCCCTGATTATCAGGATTGGGAATTGAGATACCCGAATTTGCCATTTTTCTTGTGTTTTTCCGGCTTACTCTGCCCATTTGAGATGAAGATAGCACCAGTTTTGTGCTAGAACACTATCTTAAGGCAACCATCAACCAAAGTTTGCATTTGTACAGTCAATAGTCTACAGATACAATCTAGTTCAACAGATACATCTATTCGACATCAAACAACTATATGTTAAAGGGCTTCGAACCGCAGAGAAGAATTTGGAAAACCAGAAATTTTTAGGGTTAAGGAGAGATGTGGGTAAAAAATAGGAATAGATTGGTGTGGGGAGGCACAGGGAGAGTTAACTATGTCCTAATCACAATGCAGGAAATAGGTTGGGTAGGATGCAAGTAGAGAGAGAGAGAAAAAGAAGAAAGGAAAAGGGGAATGAAAAGAGACCAGAAAAAAAAATAGAAACGTAAAAATTAATGTTATTTTAGAGATTAAAAGACCATCTATTTATAGAGGAATATGAATATGTTGAGAGAAAGGGAGGGACATAGAGGAGATGTGAAAAACTTTAAAAAAAATGCTTAAAATATTATATAGGTATAAAAAGGTAGTACTGCTATTAATGAATTTAAGTCTCAGAGGTTTTGAATTGAGTAATAAGTTTGTGGATTAAGTGTGTACACAATGGGGGATAGGGTCTACTGGTTAACTACGGGTTTATCTGAGGATGTGCAGGACAAGAGTTAAGTCACATAAAGAAGAACAAAGAGGAAAAGATGGAAAGGATAGGAAAGTGAGAAGAAAAGATCAGAAGTTCAGTAGAGCTAGACAAAAAACAAAAAGATAATTAAGAATGAAAGAAAAAGAGAAAGAAGACAAGAAAAGAAAGGAAAACACACATTCACGTATTCCTAAAATAAAAATTATAAGAGGAGAAAAAAAAAAAAGTTAATGGAAAACAATTATTTTTTCAGAAGAGGCAAAAATTAAAGATTAATAAAAGTTTTAGAAAAGCAAAAAAAAAATTTTATATATATAAGGTAACAAAAAAACGAAAAAAAAAAGAAAAGAAAAGAAGAAGAAGAAAAAAAAAAGTTCTTTGATTTTTTTTTGGGGGGGGGGGGGGGGAGGCGTGGAAAGAGTCCTGTATCTCCCTTTTGTCTGTAACCAGAGTCTGGTTGGAGTCTCTGGTCAGCTTGAGGTCCTGTGGCTTGATTGGTTTCTTAAGTCAGTTTGTTGGAACAGGCAGAAAAATGCTCTGCTTTACCCAAGATTTTGAGATCCCCCTCCCAGGTTAGTTTACTGGGAGGGTGGTCTGCTTTGAGAATCACACAAGAGGGGGATGCAGTGATGAGGCTAGGTTCTGGGTAGAGTTGAGGCCTTTCAACAAACAGTAGCTTTTCCCTGGAGCTATTTTGTGAAAAAAAACTCACAGCACCCAGCCTGGAGCCATTCTCAGGGTTTCTGTTTTTCAATTGATTGTGGTGGCTGCTAGAGGGAGGAGCAGCCTCTGGCTCTGGTTACCCGGTGAGGAGAGCCACTCCAATGGCTGGCGCCTGAGCTGGGTGACTTTTCCCTGGATGGAACTGAGTCTGTGAGGTCACTTTGCCGTTAAGTTCTTGTGACCTGCTAAATGACTAGTTTTATTCCAAGGCCTGAGCTGGAGCTAGCCGCTCCTCCGAGCTTTGTCGGTATCCAAGATGGAGATCACCGGCGCTGGGGGGGGAGGGGTGGCCTTCCCTCCTCTGCTCCCTGAGAAGGAGTGAGGAAGTCGGGGTTCTACTCACGCCGAGTCTTGGATCCGGGTCATCTCTGGTCTGCAAAGTGCAGGATGAAGTTGTCCGCTCCTTGTCGGTTCTTGCTGGTGTTGAGTAGAATCCGCTCATCCGCTGCGTCTGGCTCCTTCGTCCCGGACTGTGTCTCAGGTACGCCCCCGCGGCTGCGGTGGTCGCTGCCGCGACCCTGCCGCCGCAGCAGCAGCTGCTGGCAGGCGCTCAGATGTGTCTGCTTGGCTTCCCCTCTCTTGACTAACTCTCTGTCCTGTGATGGCACACTTGGTGTGATTCTCTGGCTTGGGACTGTTCACTGGAACTCTGAAACTGTTTTCTATGCAAGAGCTTGTTCAGATTCCAGCTTCTCCTCCGCCATCTTCCCGGAACTCCCCCAGAGTAGGAAACTTCTTATGGTCACTCAGAGCATGAACAAAAGGCCCAAAGGTAAACTAAATGCAAAGAAAATTGGATGCTTCATGAATGAGAAGATTGCCATCCATCACAACCTTAATCTTCAAGTATGTTAAGAACCAGTTGAAGTAGGTGAAAGGTACATATTTGTTTTAGTTTTTGAGGAAAAAAATCAGTATTTGTAGAAAATATTTGTTTGTCTGTTTCTTGTTCTTTGTCACCATTTCTATTAACTACTCTCATGTCTATCAGCCCAACCAATTCCCTGATTTTCCTAATTCTATTTTCACATATGTACATTTAATATAATGTTTTTCTTCACTCATCCATTCCCTATTGTTCTGACCTTATCCCGTAACAAGTAATCTGCTCATAGAAGATAAGCGTCAGTTTTCTACTGTTCATATTTTTATATTCAGTAGATCAGAAAAGGTTACTCCATGGAATTCTACCCCCATATATGCCATACTTTAGTCCAATTAATCATATATATATATATATATATATATATATATATAAATAACTACATATGTGTTCCATATTTATTTGATATGACATGTTAATATTTTAGTTCTAGCTTTCGCATATGAGAGAACACATCTCCTGTTTATCATTCTGAGCTTGACATGACATTCAATATAATATCTTATCCAGGTGCACATGTGTGTGTGTGTGTGTGTGTGTGTGTGCGCGTGTGTGTGTGCGTGTGTGTGTGTGTGTGTGTGTGTGTGAACACACACACATGCATGCCAGGACAAGGTCATGAACTCAGGCCTCATGCACTTCCTTGGCTTTTGCCTTCAATGTTGGTGTTCTACCACTTGAGCCACACATTCATTTACTGGTTTTGCTGGTTAATTGGACATAAAAGATTCTAGAATACCTGGGATTAGAAGTGTGAGTCACCAGTACCCTGCTCAGCATATCTGCACACTTCAAAGTAATTTTGCACTTTCTGACTTTTTAAATTATTGATTACACTTGAAACAATAAATAATCCATTTGTTTCTGTGATTCTTCCATCTCATTTTCCAAACAGTGGGAATATACGTATCCTCCTATCTTTGAGTACTTGCTCTTCAATACCACAAAATTTGATAGGTTCATAAATCCAGGCTCTTATCATTCTCTCCCAACACCTGGAATACCACCTAATGAAACATTTTTATATTCCCCCACCATGTCAACCTTCACCTGTGGAAATCTGTAGAGTTCCAGCAATGTCCCAATGCAGACAGATGTTATTCCTAATGGTCCTGTTAGTGCTGCTATAGACTTGCTGTCTCTTCTACAGGAGTAGTTTGGAATCTTGTATTTCCCAAAGAGCCAAATGAAGGGATTCTTAAGTACTGCCCAACCTTCGAAGTAAATATCATAGATATCAAATCCAAGAGTCAAGTTATGTAAAAGTTCAGAGTTTTTGTTGATCTCCTCAATAGCAAAAGACAAGGCCATCACAAGTTGATAGGTCTTGAAGATAAGCCTGCATAATGAACATAGAAATTTAGAAGGAATATTTCAAAAGTTATGACTTTGATGACCCCACCACAGACCAAAACATATATACATATATACATATTTATTTATATATGTACAAAAATGCAGACTCTGTACTTGGCAGATCATAACATTATAAAAGTAGACCTCAACAGCAGAAACCATCACAGAAAATACTCAAACTCATGGAAACAGAGTAATTTATTGCTGAGAACCAGTAGGTCATCAAAGAGATAAGAGGTGAAATTTAATCATTGTCAGGATTCAAAGTAAATGAAGACACAAAATACCAAATCCTTTCGGAAACAGCAAGACAGTACTCAGAGAAAAATTTATATCTATACATGCTTGCCACAACAAATTAGAAAAATCTCAAATCAATACCCTAATGATTCAACTCAAGCCTCTAGAAAAACCAGAGCAAGTCAAACCCAAAACCAGTAAACAGAAGAAAATAATTAGAGCAGTATTAAATGAATCAGAGACTTAAAAATGCATAGAATCTGCAAAAACAAAAGATAATTATTTGAAAAAATTAACAACATTGACAAGACCCTATCTAAATTAATTAAATAAAAAAGAGAAGCCACACAAATAAATAATAATTAGAGATTACAGGGGAAATCACCACAGATCCAACAAAATTCAGAATATTCTAAGGGAATACTTTATAAGCCTCTTTGGCAACAAATATGATAATCGGGCAGAAATGGATAAATTCCTATATACCCAAACTGAATCAGGAAGACATGAACTGAATAAACAGACCTAGCAAAAGCAATGAGCTCGAATTGGCAAGAACTGACCTTTCATGAAAAATCCAAGACCTGATGGCTTCAGAACCAAATTCTGTAAGACTTTTGAAGGAAAATTATCACCAATACTCCTCAAACTCTTCAATGAAATAGCACAGGAACACTGCCAAACTCATTCTAAGGACACATCAAGGAAAGAGAACTTTAGACCTATCTCCTTGATGCACACTGTTGTAAAACTCTTCCACAAAATTTAGAAAATGACCGAGAAGATCACACATGATGATTTATCTCAAGGATGCAAAGCCATATTAACAGAAATAAGTTAATTAACATATTGCAACAGATCAACAGAAGCAAGGAAAGACAAAAGCCACATGATCATCTCGTTAGATGCAGAAAAAGCCTTTGACAAGATCCAACACCTCATTATGAGAAAAGCTCTGGAGAAGCTAGGATCTGTGGACCATTCCTCAGTATAAGAAAGGGTGTGTATGAGAAATCTACAGTCAGTGTTATGCTTAATGTGAAAAACTAAAGGCATTTCTCCTAATATCAGAAATAAGAGGTTATACTGTCTCTTTTCCTTTCAAGATAGTACTGGAATTCCTAGCAAGCCAAATAGGCAAGAGAAAACCATGCAGGGAATCCAAATATGGAAGAAAGAAGTAAAACTATCCCTTTTTAATGATGGCATGATCCTGTAGTTGAGGGACCCCAAAATCTCCTTCCACAGCCTATGGAGTTGATCCAAAACTTTTTCAAAATAGCCAGGTATAAATCAACCCACAAAAATCAATACAATTTTATGCCATTATCAAGAAGATCAAGGCTGAAATCAGAACAGCAACTCCATTAGAAATAGAATTAAAAAAATATAAAATACTCACTAGTTAACCAAAGAGGTGAAGGACCTCCATAGTGAAAAGTTTAAAATTTTCAAAAACAAAATTGAAAAAGTCTTGAGGATGGAAAGATAATCTGAGCTCCTGGATTGGAAGATTTAACATTGTGAAAATGATAATACTGCCCAAAGCAAATTACAAATTCAATACAATATCCATTAAAATCCCAACAAATTTGTTTAAAGATATGGAAAGCACAGGCAAAAACATTCATATAACAAAAGACCCTGAAAAAATTATATTAAGTGAAATAAGCCAGGCCCTTGGTTTTCCTTATTTGAGAGACCTAGTATATGTCTGAGACAAGCAGAATCAGTCAGATAAGTTGATCTTAGGTGAAATGAAGCCCAAGATAAGGACTCAAATGTTTTTTATTTCTTGCTATTGTTTCTAACATATATATATATATATATAAGATATTTCTTTGTTGTTTTGTATGTCCCTCCCACACGGTATAACCCCTGTTTTCACTGTATTTGATGTTAGTAAAATTTGTGGAGGGGAAGAGAAAACACAAATTGTTTAAATAGGGATACAAGTGTAACCATTGGAACAATGAGATGTACAAGATGTTATGTCGAAAAACGAACTTTTGCTGGGCACCGGTGGCTCACGCCTGTAATCCTAGCTATTCAGGAGGCTGAGATCTGAGGATCATGGTTCAAAGCCAGCCCCAGAAGGAAAGTCTGTGAAACTCCTATCTCCAATAAACCACTAGAAAACCGGAAGTGGCACTGTAGTTCAAGCAGTAGAGCGCTAGCCTTGAGCTGAAGAGCACAGGGACAGTGCCCAAGCCCAGACTTCAAGTCCCAAAAATGAACAAAAAAAAAAGGAAAACGAACTTTAGAACTTTGGCCTTGGGGGGAGGCCAGAGTGGATGGGGGGAGGTATATGGGGAAGAATGGGGGGAGGAGGAGATGGGAAGGAGAAACAAAGGAAGAGGCAACAATGCTTGATAAGAAATGTACTCATTACCTCGCCATTGTAATTGTAACCCCTCTGTACGGTATTTTCACAATAAATAAATAAGACCCTGAATAGCAAGGCAAGTCTTAGAAAGTGGAGCATTTTTGGAGGAATAACAATACCAAACTTCAAACTCAATTACAGAACTATGGTAATGAAAACAAATTAGCAGCAGCACAAAATAAGCAGGACGACAAAAGGAACAGACTAGAAGACTCAGAATTGAACACATAGATCTATAGCCACTTAATATTTGATAAAGGATGGGCTGGGAAGGTTGCTCAGTGGTAGAGCACTTGCCTTGCATGCATGGGTTCGATTCCTCAGCACCACATAAGCAAAAAGAAAAATGTCAGAAGTGGTGCTGTGGCTCAAGTGATAGAGCGCTAGCCTTGAGCTGAAGAGCTGACAGACAGCGCCCAGGCCCAGAGTTCAGGCCCATGACCGGACCCAAAAAAAACCATTTTTGATAAAAGAGCTAAAATAAAGATTGAAAGAAAAATAGTCTCTTCAACAAATGGTGCTACAGCAAACTAAATAAAATAAAATTTAAAAATTGTATCAAAATTACTGGTAAAAGTGAGTACACAAGTGAGCTGAAAATGTTCTAACATTGTAAGTGTGCTAGACAAATTATACATATAATTCTTCTGAAGTAGGAAAATTTATTGGTGTATCTAGTATTTACTATAGAACAATGTAAAAGTGAATATCCATTCTTATAAATGATGGGAAAACTACAATGCAGTTGCAATTTTCATTTGTATATCTCCAATATTTTACCTTAAAGTATTAAATGAAGTTTTATTAAAACTTAAATGAAAGATTTCATTAAAACATTACTTAATATACACTTATGGATTTGATCATCTCCCTCTACTTCTTGTGAATTTTCTCTTTTTCTTTCATCCTCATCAGCTGGGATAGTTGTCATCATTCTAAAATATCCAGTTGTAATCCTCTTTAAGCTCCTAAGTAGCACAAAATCTATAACAGACAAATAAATTCTTATAATCCAGGAATCAAAAGTCACTACCAATGAATTCAATAAAGGAGAGAAAGTGTGGAAGAAGCTTCAATAAACCTGAAGAAGTTACATAATGGCAGGAATCAGAAGTGATCTGTCAACAATGACTGGGAATGGAAATGCAGAAAATTCTACCAATAAGAGTTAGAAAGACTGAATGAATAAAAACTCAAGGCCAAACAATAGATTAATTCCAAGAAACTCAATTCATCATCAATAGTCCTGGGTGGCTTAAGACTATGAGCCAGGCCCAGAGAAATACAGGTTCCATGATTTCCCTCATTGTAACACCTAGAAGGTGCCTATAAATCTACAAGTAAATCAACTAAATGGTGAAAAAAGCAACACTGAGATATGGTAAATGAGAGGATAATAATCTTTAAAGGGCAATGATCATTAAAGGACATTTATTTTTGTTATAATTTTAGAATTTTAACATTTACCAGTGATACAATAGGCATGAAACTGGAGTTTTTATTTATTAACTTTAAATAGTTGTACCTAGAAGTTCCCATTCTAAAAAACAATATATGAGTTTCTATAATTTCTTTTTGTTTTTTGTTTTTTGGAGTGCTGTGGATGGAACCTAGGGTCTCACATATACTCAGCTGAGTTATATCCCTCAGATCATTTCAACAAATATCTGAATAAACCATCTCTCATCAACATACTGAGTTTTCTCCAGGAGAGATCGTAGGCTAAGGCAAAAACTAGCCAGATTTTTTTGGTTGGATATGGGGCTTTAATTCTGGGCCTGGATGCTGTGCCTCAGCTCTGCAGCTCAAGGCAAGTGCTCTACCTCTTGAGCCACAACCCCACTTCCAGTTTTCTGAGTGGTTTATTGGAGGAAAGAGTCTCATTGACTTTCCTGCTCATGCTGGCTTTGAACCACCATCCTCAGATCTCAGCCTCCCGAGTAGCCAGGATTACAGGTGTGAGCCACTGGCATCCAGCTAACCACATTTTTTGTGTGTTTTAAATCACTTTATTTTATTACCTTTTTTTGTATGTTTTTATTGTAAAACTACTGTGTAGAGAGGTTATAGTTACATGAGCGAACTAATGAATGCATTGCCTATCAAGCATTGTTACCTCCTCCTTTGTTTTTCCCCTACCGTCCCTTCACTCCTACCTCCACAACTACCCCCACCCTGCCAAAGTTGTAAAGTTCATTTTCAAGATAGTGTGTTGTACATGGCATTTTTTAATGTATTTTTTATTGTGAAAATACTGTACAGAGGGGTTACAATTACATGGGCAAGATAATGAGTACATTTCTTATCAAGCACATCTCATTGTTACAATGGGTCAACCTTATCCCTATTTAAGCATTTTGTTTTTTCCCTTCCCCTCTCCAAATTAGAGAAGTGTATATACATGATGCAGGGCACTGAAATCAAATACAGTGAAAACAGGGGTTATAGTGTGGGGAAGGATCATAAAAAGAAACAAAAAATTCACATGGCACATTATAAATACATTAAAAACAATAGCAAGGAAAAAAAACCACTTGTGTCCTTATCTTGACATTCATTTCACTTAACATCAACCTATCTGGTCATATGTACAGAGCTTTTGACCTTTTCTGCTTGTCCTAGACATATACTAGTTATTGCAAATAAGGGAAACCATGGGACCTATGTTTCTTTGGACCTGGCTTACTTCACTTAATATAATTTTTCCAAGTCTTTCCATTTCCTACCAAATGTGGCAATGTCATTCTTTGTGATAGAGGCAAAGAATTCCATTATGTGTGTGTGTGTGTGTGTGTGTGTGTGTGTGTGTGTGTGTGTGTGTGTGTGTGCGCGTATGTGCGTGCATGTGTGTACACACACACACATTTCCTTGATCCATTCATCTACTGGGGGATATCTGGGTTGGTTCCATATCTTAGCTATAGTAAATAATGCTGTGATAAACATAGTTGTGCTGGTAGCTTTAGTATAGTCTTGTTTGTGATCATTTGGGTAAATGTCCAAAAGTGGAATAGAAAAAACCCAATCAAGGAACAAACACAAGAGTAGACACTTTAAAAATTAAATTGTCCAAATGGAAAATCAATACAGAAAAAATGTCCAAATATTTGAGTAATGAGGACAATACAAATCGCAGCTACATCATTTAACCATCAACCCACACTAAAATTGCAGTTTTGGTTATGGCAACTAAAAAGTGAAGATTAGAGATTCTTCAAGGAATTGAAACTACCTGTGCTGGTGGCTCATACCTGGAATGCTAGCTGAACAGCCAGCTGAATGCTGGCTGACACCCGAGGATCCTGAGTCAAGGCAACAGAGTCAGAAAACTCCGTGATACTCTCTCTCCAGTTAACCAACAAAAAGTTAGAAGTAGAGGCATACCTCCATGAGATAGTAGAGCATCAGCCTTGACAGAAAAAGCCAATCAAAAGTGCAAAGCAAGCCACTCATCAGTGATGCATGCATAAAATTCTACTAATCCCCCCACAAAAACCAGACCAGACTTCACTTTGTATCTGTGCCTAGACAGACAATCCCATGAGATTCTGCTTGCCTATTAACCACCAGAACATTTGAAATAGAGTTTTCGCTCAAGTAGTAGAGTGCTAGCTTTGAGTGAAAAAGCTAAGGGACAATGTTCAAGCCCTGAGTTCAAACCCAAGTACTGTCAAAAAATAGTAAATAATGCACTCAGAAGGAAAAAAGGAATACAGGTTGACCCATTGTAACACTGGGATGTACAGAACACTATATTGAAAATGAACTTTACAACTTCACTAGGGAGGAGGTGGTGTGGAATTAGGGAGATGGGGAGGGAAGGGATGGCAGGGGAAAAACAAAGGAGTTCACAGTGTTCAATAGCAAATGTACTCATTGGAGATAAAAGTCACAGAGTTTCCTGCCTGGGCTGGCTTCAAACCTCCATCCACAGATATCAGATCTGTGAGTAGTTAGGATCACAGGCATGAGCCACCTGATACAATAAGAATGTTCATCAATTTCCTCAAAAGGGGGCAAGGAAATGTGGCTACAGTCTTTAATATAGAACAGGTGGCAGTATTTCAGGTTGTTTGTAAGGACATCATTTCATCTTTTGCAGTGATTGTTGGCATGGAGGAGATACAAGGATGCTACAGTAAAGTTAAGAATTTAACAACCTGGAAAGGAGAAAGTATATGGAAGGAAATAGAGTCCTTTCTTTTCTAATGTGAAAATACCATACAGAGGGGTTACAATTACATGAGCAGGGTAATCAGTACATTTCTTATCAAGCATTGTTGCCTCCTCCTGTTTCTTACTAGCAGACAGGAAAACACTCAACAATAGATGCAAGATAAAATAAAGAAACAGCTGTTCCTGCTGCAATAGGGATAGGAGGTCAGTGTAGCAAAGACAGAGACCATTGATTATATTCTCAACCATTGCCCATCCTTAGGACATAACAGTAATGGAAATAAAATGATGAGTTACTTATGGTATGTTCTCTTCTTGCCTAGAAGCTTCACTGTTGCTAAGATCAATTCCCAAAGTGTAGAGAGGGAAAAATCCAGCAATCATCACATCTCCATCCATGTGCGCTCCATGCTTCATTGGCGAAAAGCAGCTAGTGCCAGCCAAGGACCTGACAAGGACTGGAAGCTGGAGAAGAAGGAGTGTGAAAGTCATAAGGTTCATCCCTGAAGACTATCCCAAGCAGAAATTCTGGCTGGAAGTGAGACCCACAGTGTCTGATACCTTTATTCAGACATATGTGAACATATGTGTCTTTTATTGTCAGAGATCTATACTGTAGCTCATCTTCCATCAAAGCCTCTTGTGAGTCCCCAGAAATCATAGCCTGGGGCACTACATCTGTGGCCTTCATCCAGGAGAAAAACATGAGTTGGACAACATGTTTGTGGATTTGCCTTCTTTGGCCCAGGTGCTATGATTCCATCCAAGACCACAGAGAGTGAAGCCCCAGAGATGAAGTTCTCTTGGATAGTTTTTTGTCCAACCTCTGTGTCAGGAAACCATTTTCATGAAAGCCATTTGAGATGATATAGCTGGATTGTCTCAGAGGATGCCATGTCCCGTGCATGGTGAAATGTTCTGAAGAGTCTGTGTCTGTGAGATGTTAACCAAAGTTATGAGGGCATCACACCCAGAGGGTTGATTCACACACACCATGTCACAAGAGCCACCGAACATTGGTGGTTGATCCAGCCAGGTTTCAATGGGAATTCCATGTGCAGAACCCTACAGAAATGCACCCATTTACTACTACCTGAAGAAGCAAAGATGCTGCTGAAACCAGCAATTACATGTCAATAACTCAAGGTCAATGCCCAAATTGAGCTCCACTTTTGCCTTCTGAACTGTCACTTTCAAACAGGTAATTATTACTAAACATGCTAATCTAGATATTTTTCATGACACAGAAGTCTGAGGACATATGATAATAGAGGAAATTCTTCTCAATGACAAACCAAAATCAATATCAATACCAACTGTATGATGTTTTCTTGTCAACAAATGTTAAACCCATACAGAGACTTCAGTGGTCCTGGTCTGAGATACCTCAGGCCAGTGAACATACTCTATATAAGGATGCAATGTTCCATGTTTATTATGGTACACTTGCCCATATTCATGCACTGGTATCAGAAAATCTGCATCACATTCGTACTTTAAAAATGCAGGAGGAAAACAAATACCCTTACTCATATCATTGCCACTGGTTTTTTAAACTTGAATATTCATTACATTATATATGAATTTATCACTTATTAGTTTAAATTCCTCACAGCATATATTAGCTGGACTTAGGATTTATTTACCTATGTATATCTGTGCATGTAATGGGCCTCAGTCTCAAAAGGTGGTGGCACTGGTCCATATCATAACGCTATAGTTTCTTGGGGAACCTATAAACTGATTTCCTTAGTGGTACCTCAAATTACATTCTCATGAATACTGTTTAAGTGTCTCCTTTCCCTATATTAATATATGTGTGTGTGTGTATATATAATCGTAAAAATGCTGTACAGAGGGGTTACATTTACATGAGTAGGGTAATGTGCACATTTCTTATCTAGCAGTGTTACCGCCTCCTTTCTTTTTCCCTGCCATCCTCTCCCTCCCACCTCCCAAGTCCTCCCTCTCCCCATCCCCAACATTGTAAATTTCATTTTCAACATGGTATCCTATATATCTCATCATCACAGTGGGTCAAACTACATCCCTATTTAAGCATTCTGCTTTATCCCTTCCCCTTCCCAAATTACAAAAATGTATATACAAGATGCAGAACACCAGAAACAAATACAGTGAAAAAAGGGGTTTTACCATGGGGGAAGAACCTACAAAAGAAAAAAAAGAATCTCATAGTGCATTGTAAGTACATTAAAAACAATAGCAAGAAAGAAAAATCCACTTATGGCCCTGTCTTGGGGTACATTTCGCTTAACATCATGTCATATGGTCATATGTACATAGCCTTTGAACTTCTCTTCTTGTCCTAGACATGTACTAGTCATTGTAAACAAGGGAAACCATGGGACCTATGTTTTTTTGGACCTGGCTTACTTCACTTAATATAATTTTTTCCAAGTCTTTCCATTTCCTAACAAATGAGGCAAATCATTATTTCTGATGAAGGCATAGAATTCCATATATATGTGTACCACATTTTCTTGATCCATTCATCTATTGAGGGGCATCTGGGTTAGTTCCATCTTACCTATGGTAAATAATGCTGGGATCAACATAGCTGTGCTGGTAGCTTTGGTATGACCTTGCTTGTGATCCTTTGGGTAAATGCCAAAAGTAGGATAGCTGGGTCATAGACGAGCTCTATGTGGAGTCTTTTGAGGAACCTCCATCCTGCTTTCCAAAGTGGTTAAATAAGTTTACACTCTGACAAACAATGCAGTAAGGTTCCTTTCTGACCACATTCCCTCCAGCATCTGTTGTTATTAAATGTCTTGATTATAGCCATTCGAACTGGGGTAAGGTGGAATCTCAATGATTTGCATTTCTTTTAGAGCTAGAGAATTTGAGCATTTCCTCATGGGTCTATTGGCCACTCTTAGGTCCTCTTCAGAGAAGTCTCTCTTTAAGTCTTTAGCCCACTTATTAATAGGGCTGTTGTTTATTTGAGGATTTGTTCTTGGGGAACTTAATTTTTTGAGTTCTAAGTATATTTTAGATATGAGACCCTTGTCTGTTGTATGGCTAGTAAAAATATTTTCCCAATCCATGGGCTTTCTGTTGATCTTGCTAGCTATGTCCTTTGCCATGCAGAAGCTCTGCAGCTTCTTGCAATCCCATTTGTCCAACCTTTCTTTGATTTGTTGTGTTTCTGGCTCTCTATTAAGAAAATTTTGACCTGTGCCAAGGAGCCCTAGAGTTTCTCCTATTCCTTCATTTAATGTTTTCAGAATGTCTGCTTTTATTTCCAGGTCTTTAATCCACTTGGAGTTGATTCTGGTGCAGGGTGCTGTATATGGATCTAGCTTTAGTTTTCTACAGGAGTTTAACCATTTTGACAGCACCATTTACTGAAAAGGCTGTCTTTCTTACATTCTACTTCTATAGATCCCTTGTCAAAGATTAGGTGGCTATAGGTCTGTGGGTTCATTTCTGGGTCTTCAGTCCTATTCCATTGGTCCTCAGGTCTGTTCTTGTGCCAGTACCCAGCTGTTTTGATTACTATGGCTTTGTAGTAGAGTTTGAAATTTGGTATTGATATTGCTCCAGCACTGTTCTTTCTACTAAGGATTTTTTTGCTATTTGGGGTCTTTTATTGTCCCATATGAACTTTTGGATTGCTTCTTCTATTTCATTGAAGAATGAGGTTGGCATATTGATAAGTATTCCATTGAATTTGTAGATAGCCTTGGGATTGGAAGTATTGCCATTTTCTCTATGTTGATCCTTCCAATCCAGGAGTATAGGAGGTTTTTTCACTTGCTTGGTTCTGCTTTAATTTCCTTTTTCAGGTTTTTAAAGTTTTCATCATACAGGCCCTTCGCTTCTTTTGTTAACTCCTAAGTATTTTATTTTTTGTGGGGCTATTACAAAAGAAGTTGCTTTTTAATTTCAACCTCTCTCTTCTCTTTATTGGCATATAGGAAAGCCATTCATTTTTGGAGGTTAATTTTATACTCTGCTACTTGCCAAAGTTTCTGATCAGTTCAAGTAACTTGGGAGTGGAGTCCATGGGGTTCTTTAAATACAAGATTATGTCATCTGCAAAGAGGAAGAGTTTTACTTCATCTATCCCAATGTGGATCCCCTTTATATTTACATCTTGTCTTATTGCCCTAGCTCGGCATTCTAGTATTTGGTTGAAGAGGAGTGGAGAGAGTGGACATCCTTGTCTCGTTCCTGAATTTAGAGGAAATGACTTTAACTTTTCACCATTAAGTATAATGCTGACTGTCAATTTGTCATATATAGTCTTTATTATAGGGAGGAATGTTCCATGGATTCCTAATTTTTCCAGAGCTGTCATCATAAAAGGGTGTTGGTTTTTGTGGTGCTTTAACTCTGGGCCTGGGTGCTATTCCTGAGCCCTTCAGCTCAAAGCTGGTGCTCTACCACTTGAACCACAGCACCACTTCCAGTTTTCTAGAGGTTAATTGGAGATAACTGTCTCACGAACTTTCCTGCCCAGGTGGCTTCTACTCCTGATCTTCCAATCTCAGTCTCCTCAGAAGCTAGGATTACAGGTTTGAGAAAGCCATGCCCGGCAGCTTCCTTTATCTTATTAGATTCAAAAATTAGTTTGGGGCCAAGCAGAAGTTATTTTTCAAACTTTAAGCATATTTATTTTTAAATTTTTTGTATTACTTTAAAATTTTGGGGGTTTGTATGAGAGTTTTAAATGGGCACATACAGTCTTTTCATTAGACACATTTTTTCCAAAACTTCTTATTTCCTCTAAAATATTTAAACTATCTTAATGGCCTCCATGTATAGGAAAATCCTAATGTTTTGATAAAATATACCTAAGACTTTTTAAAGCAACATGATGTTAGATACAATTGTTCATATGTTATTTGTACTTTATTACCACCCCTACACACAGACACACACACACACACACACACACACACACACACACACACACACACACAATAAAAACAAAACAAGACAACCATGACTCATGGACTAAATCCAGCCTATTTTTTATGGTTAAAGTAGTATTGTAACAAGAGGCAACAATGCTCAATAGGAAATGTACTCATTACCTTGCTCATGTAACTCTAACCCCTCTGTACAGCATTTTTACAATAAAAAATGTACAAAAATCATAAGGGTACATTTTCCTTGTGCCCTTCTTCCTGTCTCTATCCTATTATTTATCCATAAACTTCTCTTTTATGTGCCATTAACTTTCTCTATGCCTGACATCCATTCACTCTTGCTTCAAAACATCAAGCCATCCATGTGTGCATTCTCTTCATTAATTCTTTTAAGATAAAAGTGTTGTATAAGTTTAATGAAATTTCAACTAAGAAGAAATTAGCAAAAAACACAAAATGCTATACAAAAGCACTGAAATCAAACATTCTCCCAAAAACTTCACAACACAAAATGAGGATTCAGTATTTTACTCAATAATATAAACTCAACCCTATTAATGGAATTCCTAAAATAAAAAAGGGAGATAGACAAAAACTCAATAGAAACTGATGAACATTTTGATCATATATTTACTAACATGCTAAGGAAATTGGAAATCTAATTACATTTTCATTTGTTAGACAGCATGCCCTCAAAAGAACATACACACATTAATTTTTTATCAATACACTTATATTTTCAAGTAAAATTTAACTAATAGAAACGTCTAGTCAGTTTCATAGCTGTCATCTATTAGAAATGCAAATGTGGAAAGTTTTTCAAAGTCAGCCTGGGCAGGAAAGTGTCTAAGATTCTTATTTCCAATTAAAGACCAAAGAGCTAGAAATGTAGCTGTGGTTCTCGTGGTAAAGCAGCCTTAAGTGAAAAAACCTAAGGAATAGTCTAAAAGCATAGTGCATAAATAAATTTGATTAATATCAGAAGAAACATGTAATAAACACTGGAAGAGATAAGAAATGAATGTTATTGTGCTCATATGTCTTAAATATGTGATTATGTAAAGATAGTATAGAACCTACTAAGTCAACCTAGCTGATGAAATAAGTAATGCTTCCCCTATCAAATTAAGAGATTTAGAATGCTACAGATGAAAATGTTCATATTTCAACATTTATATTTTAATAGGAAGTGATAACACTACAAGAAATAATGATAATAAATAGTGATACAACAACAATAAATTGAAAGGTATCTCCAACCATGGAGAAGCAAATTACTGTGCATTACAAACTTTAATCTTAAGAGAAAAGTAAAAAGAAAACTTACACATTGTAATCTTAAATTAACTACATTTTTTATCTTAGGTAATCTGTTCCAAAAGCCATAGGAGAAAGAACAGAGAGAGGAAGGAGGAGGAAGGGAGGGAGGAGAGTGGCAAAAAGCCAGAGAGACAGAGACAGACAGAAACATCTTATGAAAGGGATTCTGGATTATTACAAAAGGAAAAGTGTAATCAGGAATATTCAAGTATTGAACAAAACAATTCTAAGGATCATATAAAAATATTAAACTTTGTAAGAGAAAACAACTAATGAAAGGCAGTAGAGGATTATACAACATGCTAGTGTGCAGACAGGAAGTTAATATACTTAAAATTTTAGAAAAAATGATTGAGAAAAACAGTAGGGAAAACAAGCGGGAATGATAGAATTAAGTGCAGATTAAATGGGAAGAACTGAAAATCAATGGAAAAAATTGGCATTTAATTGGTGTTCACCACTGCTTAAAACTACCACTACTAGAAAAAGAAACAATTGACCTTTATTCACTGAGAGAAACATTTCATCATACAAGTGAATATAACAATGGAAAGTTCCTACAGATTTAGATCAAACCTACTATATACTAATCAAACATATGAGTTCAATCTTAAAAGGTTTATTTCTTCTATGTCTTTTATCCCTAAAGCCATATAGGGAATTTCTATTTGGCATTAACAAGATGTAACACTGTGGAACAAAAATACAGCCTAGGAGCCCTGCCCCAGAGGGCAAGATGGAGAAGACCTCCACAGCCACCATGACCTTCCCCTTGGCACTGTGGTAGACAGGCAGGAAGGTGAGCCACACATTGTAGAACACCAGCATGCTGAAGGTTAAGAACTTGGCTTCATTGAAGGTGTCAGGCAGGTTTCTGGCCAGAAAAGCCATGGTGAAACTGGACAGGGCCAGGGAACCCAGGTATCCCAGGACACAGTAGAAAGTAGTGAGGGGGCCCTTGTTGCACAGGATGATGATGTGGCCATGTTCAGAGTGTGCATCTGTATCCACAAAGGGAGGAGAGGTTCCCAGCCAGAGTCCACAGAGAGTCACCTGGATTAGTGTGCAGATGTGGATGATGAAGTTAGGAGCCCCTGATACCAGCAGCCACCTCATCCTTCTCCCTGGGGAAGTGGCCTTGAAGGCCAGAACCACAGTCACTGTTTTGGCCAACACTGGGGATACTGCCACAGTGAACACAATTCCAATTGCTGCAGGATGCAGGTGACTGTATTGGGTTGGCCAGGAACAGCAAGGAACAGCGAAAACAGATGAGGGAGATGAGTAGGATGTAGCCAAGAGTCCTGTTATTGGCCTTGACAATGGCAGTGTCATGGTGTTTCACAAACATCCCAAGAACAACAGCAGTGAGCATAGAGAAGCAAAGAGCCATGAAGGCCAGAGCCATGCCCAAGGTATCTCCAAAAGCCAGGAAACTTGCAGCTCTCAGGGTTCTGGGTTCTCTGTGTGTTAGCATACTGATGATCTGGACACTTCACACATTGGTCCATATCTGATAAGCTGAGTAAAGTACCATTAGTTCTTGGTTTGAACTTCCTTTTATTCAAAGTTGTTTTTTTTTTTTTTGGTCTGGTTGTGGGGCCTGAACTCTGGGCCTGGGCACTGTCCCTCAGCTCTTCAGCTCAAGGCTAGGACTCTACCACTTGAGCCACAGCACCAATTCCAGCTTTTTTCTTTTTGCTTATGTGGTGCTGAGGAATGGAACCTAGGACTTCATGCATGCAAGGCAAGCGCTCTACCACTAAGCCACCTTCCCAGCCCCATATTCAAAGTTTTTAACAAATTGTTTACTTGGATATATTCCTAGGATAATCTACCATAGTGCCACCATTAACTGTCACAAGTTATTTTTGTTTCTTTTCTAAGCCAAAACTTCTTCCCACTGCCAACTTCATTATTCAGGCTTTTTTTTCCTGATTTTTCCCTTCAAGGATTATCACAAGTATTGACAAGGTGCTATTTGGAGTACTCTAATATCTTTGTAACAATTTTCTACAGTTTTGCTCACACTTACTTACAGAATTGTGCACATTTGTGCAGTCCTATTGAAAACTGTAAATAATGCAGCTTACAATTCCCGACACATCTCTGTAAAACATTAATTTTGTTCCTGTGGCATAGTCCTTGAATTCATCTCATTATGTTGCTCTCTCCAACTCATCTGTGAAGCAGTAGAAACAGAGCAACCACTCTTGGACACTTTGTAGTCATACTCCCTTCTAAAACAGAATCCCCCTTTCTGAGCTCTTGCTCCATGTCATGAGCAGTTCTGGGTACAGAGAAAGGAAGCTATGCAAGTTCCATGTTTTCTGTGTATAAAAAATGTAATTTTCAAGATGATCATTGTTCTCAATAAGATGTGTTTAATGTCATGTTAGAGTATTACTAAAAGCTGTAATTTAAAGCCCTGATCTGCTATATTTCTTTTTTTTTTTTTGCCACAGCGTCACTTCTGGCTTTTTTTCTTTTTGCTTATGTGGTGCTGAGGAATCGAACCCAGGGCCTCATGCATGCAAGGCAAGCGTTGTACCATTGAGCCACCTTCCCAGCCCCTGATCTGCTATATTTCAACTAGCAATACAACTAACTACTTACTATAATTGAATTATTGACAGAGAGAAGTAAAACAGGCGCAGTAGTCCTAAGACAACTTTTTCACTGTGTTGGTTGAACTGAGGAAAATAAAGGAGAGATGAAAATTTTCTTCATAAGTCATGGATTTACCTGTTCCATTAGCAATCTCATTCTCTGGGCAAAGATTACAATCAAAACAACAAGCAGCCTTTTCCTCTTGAGGAGATTTCCTGAATCCAGGACCACAACTGTCACTGCAGACAGAGTGAGGAGTCTGAGGAAAATCAGGTCTGTGCCAGTAACTAACACTCCAAAAAGCCCATTGTTTTAAAGAATTGTATTTTTAAGCATATGTTTCTATACAGATAAGTGAAGTTGATTAATTAAATTCTGTTATTGATTCCATAGTCCATGGTTTCCAAAGGCTATGTACTACAACAGTGATTTCTAGCCTGTTGAATTATTCAAAAGTATGGGATCTACAAAAGGCTGAATGTAGTGGTGAGAAAGTAATATCTAGTGAAAAGCCTTTTGGGATTTCCCTGAATTCATGTCATTTTATGTTGTCTCCTACTCATATGTGAAATGGGGAAGACAAGAAGGAGCCATCACTTTTAGAGGGTTATGTGAACCCCAGGACCATCCTATATTCCTTTTCAATTTCCAGTGGCCATGAAGACAGAATCTTCTCACAGGCACATTCAATGATTGCTCTCACCAAAGATGCCCAAGTAGCAGGTCAACTAACCATTGAATGAAACCTCCATCCACAGGAGGAGCAAAGAAACCTCTCAATCACATAAAGTGAGTCTTCACATACTCTATCACAGTGTTAGGAATCAATAAGTAATGTATAAGTTATATTTTATGAATATTATAAGTTAACATTTACAAACATATATAATGGGTTTGGTACTGATCGCAGGATTTGAACTCAAGGTCTGGGCACTGGCCTTTAGTTTTTTGTTTTTGTTTTTGTTTCCGTTTTTTAAACTTTTTTCTTGTGAAAATACTGTACAGAAGGGTTACAATTCCATGAGCAAGGTAATAATTACATTTCTTAGGAAGCATTGTTGCCTCTCCTTTGTTTTTCCCCTACCATCCATGACCTCCCTTCTCTAGGAATATATTCCCCCATCCCTTTCCACCCTCCCCCTTGCCAAAATTGTAAAGGTCATTTTCAGCATAGCATTTTGTACATGTCATTGTTACAATGGATCCAACAGTATCCCTATTTAAACGATTTGTATTTTTCCCTTCCCCTCCACAAATTATACCAACATCAAATACAGTGAAAACAAGGATTATACTGTGAGGAGGGAAATACAAAGCAACAAAGAAATCATCTTATAAATATGTTAGAAACAATTGCATGAAAGAAAAAAAACATTTCAATGCTTATCCTTCTTTCCTCTTCAGAGCAGTTTCTCTTTAAGTCTTTAGCCCACTTGTTTATTGGGCAGTTGTTTCTTTGAAGATTTGTTGTTGGAGGATTTAATTTTTTGAGTTCCAGGTATATTTTAGATATGAGACCCTTGTCCGTTGTATGGCTAGTGAAGATCTTCTCCCATTCTGTGGGCTTTCTATTGTTCTTGCTAGCTATGTCCTTTGCCATGCAGAAGCTCTGCAATTTCATGCAATCCCATTTGTCCAACCTTTCTTTGATTTGTTGTGTTTCTGGGTCTCTATTAAGAAAATTTTGGCCTGCGCCAAGGAGACCTAGGGTTTCTCCTATTCCATCCTGTAATGTTTTCAGAGTGTCTGCTTTGACTCCCAGGTCTTTGATTCATTTGGAGTTGATTCTGGTGCAGGGTGATATATAAGGATCTAGCTTTAGTTTTCTACAAGTAGTTAACCAATTTTGCCAGCACCATTTACTGAAGAGGCTGTCTTTCTTCCATTCTATTTTTTAGCTCCCTTATCAAAGATTAGATGGCTATAGGTCTATAGGTTCATTTCTGGGTTTTCAATTCTATTCCATTGGTCCTGAGGTCTGTTCTTGTGCCAGCACCAAGTTGTTTTGATTACTATGGCTTTATAGTAGAGTTTGAAATTTGGTATTGATATTCCTCCATCACTGTTCTTTCTGTTGAGGATCGGTTTTGCTATTCGGGGTCTTTTAGTGTTCCATATGAATTTTTGGATTGCATCTTCTATTTCTTTGAAGAATAAGGTTGGAATTTTGATAGATATCGCATTGAATTTGTAGATAGCCTTGGGAAATATTGCCATTTTCGTGGTGTTGATCTTTCCAATCCAGGAGCATGGGAGTTTTTGACACTTTCTAAGTGCTGTTTTGACTTCCTTTTTTCTCAAGTTTTTAAAGTTTTCATAGAGGTTCTTCACTTCTTTGGTTAAGTTAATTCCTAGATATTTTATTTTTTGTGGGGCCATTACGAATGGGGTTGCTTTCCTAATTTCAGCCACACTTTTCTCATTGTTGGCATACAGAAAAGCCATTGACTTTTGAGGGTTAATTTTATACCCTGATACTTTTGATTTGTATTTCTTTTATGGCTAGAGAAGTTGAGCATTTCTTCTTCATGTGTCTATTGGTCATTCTATTTCCTATTCAGAGAAGTCTCTCTTTAAGTCTTTAGCCTACTTATCAATTGGGCAGTTGTTTCTTTGAGGATTTGTTGTTGAGGGATTTAATTTTTTGAGTTCCAAATATATTTTAGATATGAGACCTTTGTCTGTTGTATGGCTAGTGAAGATCTTCTCCCAATCTGTGGGCTTTCTATTGATCTTGCTAGCTATGTCCTTTGCCATGCAGAAGCTCTGCAATTTCATGCAATCCCATTTGTCCAACCTTCCTTTCATTTGTTGTGTTTCTGGGTCTCTATTAAGAGAAAATTTTAGCTTGTGCCAAGGAGTTCTAGAGTTTCTCCTATTCCTTCCTGTAATTTTTTCAGGCTGTCTGCTTTGACTTCGAGGTCTTTGATCCACTTGGAGTTGATTCTGGTACAGGGTGATATATACGGATCTAGCTTTAGTTTTCTACAGGTGATTAATTTTGCCAGCACCATTTACTGAAGAGGCTGTCTGTCTTCTATCCTATTTGTTTTTGCTCGTTTATCAAAGATTAGGTGGCTATAGGTCTCCAGGTTTGTTTCTAGGTCTTCAGTTCTATTCCATTTGTCCTGAGGTCTGTTGTTGTGCCAGTACCAAGCTGTTTTGATTACTGTGGCTTTGTAATAGAGTTTAAAGTTTGGTATTGGTACTCTCCAGTACTGTTCTTTCTGCTAAGAATTGTTTTTGATATTTGGGGTGTTTTATTGTTCCATATGAATTTTTTGATTGCTTCTTCTATTTCATTGAAGAATGAGGTTGGTTTATTGATAGGTATTGCATTGAATTTGTAGATAGCCTTTGGAAGTATTGCCATTTTCACAATGTTAATCCTCCCATTCCAGGAGCATGGGAGGTTTTTCTACTTCTTTTGTTTTGCTTTAATTTACTCTTTCAGATTTTTGAAGTTTTCATCATGGAGGTCCTTCACTTCTTTAGTTAATTCCTAGGTATTTTATTTTGGTGGGGGGGAGAAGGCTATAACAAAATAAGTTGCGTTCCTGATTTCAGCCATGCTCTTCTCATTATTGGCATACAGAAAGCCATTGATTTTTTAGGGTTAATTTTATACTCTGCTACTTTGCCAAAGTTTCAGATCAGCCCAAGTAACTTGGGAGTGGAGTCCATGGGAGTCCCTACATCCTTCTTACCCTCACCTGTAGAAACCC